CTGCATAAGATTTTTGAAAGTGCTAAGAATGTCAATTCTTGCAAAACTTAACCATATTAGTCTTGTTCCATAGCTTCCTTTATAAATCAACAAAAACTTAAAAATGATGTTTAACAATATCAGCCTCGAGTATTGTTCTCCAAAACATCTGTTTTATAGATTTATAGATTGAGAATTAGGCCCAATATAATATTAAGAATTGTTGGGCCTAATGGTATTTATTTCTTAGTGGTTGATATGTTTTGGTAGTGTGTTAATGATACTGAACTTATTCGCATTATTTTTCTTCCATCAATTTCAGTTTGTTAATAATTTTGGTTAAAGGGAATAAGAAAATGTTGATGCGAAAATATATGATCTGCAGTAAACAAATCTTCCTTCCTGGCAATAGGTTGTAGGAGGAGATCAGTGATGTATAAGTTATGAAGAAATGGCATAGGAGAGCGACTCCAAAATTCTGATCCAAGCAATTCAAAATTCTTAAAACGTCAAGCCTCCACAGCTTCATTAATGAGATCATTAGATCAACACTGTTGGATAAACTTTGATTAATAACTTAAGATCCAAGATATCTCTAACAAGTTGGTTAAAGATAAAATAGGCATATTTTTTTATTAGTTTAGGAGTTATCTAGTTCTAATAGGAAAAGGAAAAGTGTTTAGCAAAGTTGTGTTACCACTATATATAGTCTTTGATGAAGAAGAATTAAGGACATGAGAGATAAGAGTTATTGTATTTAGTTTTTGAGATAAGTTTTCTAAGCATCAGTAAAGAAGTTCTCTTAACAAAATTGTCTAAGTGTTTATGCGATTATAAACACGACGCTTCATTCGTCCAAAAATTCAATTTCAAGGTAGACAACCAAATAAGTGTGCCGATGTTAGTGTCGGGTATCAAATAAAGCATGAATAGATAACCCTCATTTTCAGATCCATATTCAACAACATTAGTAATAGTAAAATTTCTTTTTAGTTTATGATTAGGAATCAGATGCATTCAAATTACAAATCCCTTATCTAGAGAATAGAAATTATATATAAAAATAAATATTCCACATGTACAAATATTCGTAGTAAAATATATATTACAGTGTCACATAATATAATGCAGGGAAAGTACGCACCCGAAATAGTTTAAATTATTAAGACACATGAATGGATTTCAATAAATTGCCAAAATAAACAAATAAAATCTCTTCTAAGATATAGTGCATGCATGCTTCACACCGTTATGTTGCTGTTAATGTTTACTTCTTTTTTCTCTCATAAATGATTTGCTAATTTCTAGCACCTTCTATCAAGACAATCTCAATCTGATTACGTACTTTTTAATAAGAAAATGTATATATATAAGAATGCCGTGATTGATAAAAGCGTTGACAAAAAACTTTTTTGAGTTTATGGAGATGGTTCTATCCAACAGAGTATATGTCTTTTTCGTTTATGTTTTCTGTTTTTTTTCCTATACTACTTGAGTTCTGTTGGCAGGCAAAAACATCGTTTTTATCATTATAGATTAGACAATTATTTGACCACAACAGATAGACTATTGATTTTGTACAACGTACTACTGTACTAGTGTTGTAGACAAGAAACATATTGAGTTATTCCCATAGAATGTTGAATCCTTCTCACGGAACATACGATACTACAACATCATGCCTTGTTCAGGTCGGAATTCGTTTACACTTGATGCATTTTAGTAACTTGTGTAAAAAATAAAAAAAAAACAATATACACAACTAAATGAAATAGATTAAAATAGATATCTAATAAAACTATCAAAATATCTTGGAATTCCATCCTTCATATAAGAGTCCTTTAATTCTAATATGTGACTATATATCTTCGAAAAATATTGAGTATTTTACTTTCAAATTTATTCATACAATTACTGATGAATGTATAATAGTATGTACAATGGGTATATGCATTAAAGTGAAGTAAGTTGGAGGGGAAGTATGAAGTCCGGTTTATATGGGATAGTCCATGTGCACAAATCTATAGCTTATTTTATTTACACATTCATAAGAACTTGTACTTGTTTATCTGTCTCCCTTTGACGTCGATCTCCCACTTTGAGAGAATATTTATAAAGTATAAGGTATGCATGGGAATCACGTAGTTCTTGTAATATATACATTGAACATACGGAATGAATAAACCAACATCCAATGCCCATACAAAAAGTATTTATTTGTCCTATTCAGTCTCTAAAAACGTCGCATTACCGAATATATGCTGCACTCTAGTCTCTACCAAACCAAGGACAAAACACTTAGAAACTATTAAATATTATTAGCCCACGAAGTAGTTAAAGCATATAATATAGACCCTTTAAGATATATTTTAATATTTGTAAAGGTCACTAATCCTTTTTTCTAAAAACACTCATAAACTATTATTGATTAAAAAAAAAACACAAAAACTATTATTATTCCACGAGGTTGTTTGATCGCTAGATGCTCAATAGACATATCGATTCACTCTACGCGAAAGTATAAAGCCAGAAAAGGACAAACCACATGTCTCTCATTCTTTCCCATAAAGTTTTGCTAGCCACGTTCTCTTATACCTATTCTGTACCTAAGTTACGGCCATCTTGTTCAGTTCTAAGATATATTGCGTATATATCTTATGCATTTTTCTCTACCCTTTAATTTAGTTATGAAATGGGAAATATGGATTATATCAATATATCACTCCATTCATTCCGTTTTATATGATATTTTGAGTGAATAAATAGATTTTAGATAAATTATTTCTATATATTTGTTTTACAATCAGTTTTACCAATTACTTATTTCATATTATAGAGGTACTTGAATAAACCATAGAGTTTTATGCATAGAAACTGGAAAAATTAAATCATTATCATATAAATCGCTATAATATTTTATCAACAAAACATAGAAGACGTCAAAAAACAAAAACAATAGCAAGCTTTTCAAAATTTCAAAAAACACCGCGTTCACGCCTAGTCGGAGGATCTATTTTCCGGCGTACCGACTCCCCTTCTGTCATCTATGGCGATACTCACCTCCTGGGAAGCTTCAGGGATTCAACGTGCTCTCCAAACCTCCAACGTCAACAACATCAACGGCAAACACCACTTCTCCAGAGTTTGCTAATCTTTAAGATCTCCATCCTTTCGGTCTCTCAAGTGAGAGAACAAGCCAACGCCTCCTCTTACGGTTCGTCTTTGAACTCAGCTACCAAGATGTTTCTCGACCTTAACAGACAAAATAAGCTTCCTACTCACTACCATATACTTCAACTGGAAAAAAGCTCCTTCTCACCTCCTACTGCATCACTGCAAATACTCCATCTCAGCCCCGTCTCCTTCCCTCTCGCTTCGGAAGCCCATCTCCAGTCTCTCCATCTGCATTTTCAACTAGTAGACCATCCTCACCATGGACAGAAGAAGGCTCTCCTACTTGGAAAAGGACGAAGCGAAGGCCTACTCCCCAGACCCCCAACCACCACGAAAGAGGATCTGCGCTCCGGATATCGACACAACCGACCTGATAAAAGACAACAAGTTAACTCTCATAGGAAGGCTAACAAACCCACGAGAACAGAGGATGTGAGCTCTGTTCAATATTCTACCAAAACGTTGGGACATCAAAGGAAAAGTCATCGGCTCAGACTTAGGCCAACATTGCTTTTAATTCCGCTTTGAATCTGAGGAAGATATACAAAAAATGCTCAACAACCGGCCATACCACATCTCACGATGGATGGTCATCCTCCAGTAGTGGGAACCGATTATTTCTCCCACCTTTCCACCACAAATCTCCATCTGGATGAGTTTAAAAGGGATTCCGCTGCATTACTGAAAATAAAAAAAAAGATGATTACCGACATTGGGGAAGAATTGGGAACTATTGAAGACTAGGAGCTTATCTAGACAGAGGCTCGTATCTGAATATCTATTGATGGGCTAAAATCTCTGATAAAAGAAACTATCATTGACTTTCCAAACGGAGGAGAAGCAGTGGTCACTATTCAGTACGAAAAAAACTCGAAAACCACTGCAAATACTGCCACCTCCTAAGCCATGATGAGTCCAACTGCCCGGCCAAACTCGCTTATAGGCGCTCCCACCCAAGCCGAGAAGACAAAGAGAGCAGACCATCTCCTGCAATAGTGGAAATAAAAACTATTAACTCAGATAGAACCTTCAGTGAAAGACTAGATAGGCATGGGAATCCTTTTGGTGCAAGAATCAAACAAAAGGAAGGACATGAGTCAGCCTTTGAACACAAAATCTCCAAGACCAGGGACTCATAGAGACAACAGAAGGGATACTTCAAGGCACTCCATCAGAGCTTCAGAGCCTTCAGAATCCCAGTCAAATCAGAGGAACAAAGAAATGACATCTTCTCACCAGACTGTGCACCACCGAGATCATCCCACAGCCTCACATGAATTCCAAAAAGTACCACAAAACTTTCAAGAGACCTTTGTCTCTCCATCTGGACGCACTTGAAGGCTAAAAGACCCTCAAAAACATCAGGTCAGCCATGGTCGATCAGAATCTCCTCAATCCCGACGATTCAACTTAAGCAGAAACTTAGACAAAGAAGACTTCCATCAGCTTCCACCTCCCCCTCCTCCAATCACCACAGATAGCATCATGGAGGAACTGCAGGAGGTGAAAATACAATATTTAAACTGCCCAGACCCAGTGAAAAGTGCAGCGAGAAGGATGAGAGTCCTCGAAGGAGAAAGCAGAGGACTTGTGGCTGAAAAGGCAATGTCTATCCTCGCTGCAACAGCAGCTCGTGACCATCTACAACCGGAAAGCCAGGACCTACCCCAACTCGACAGAACATAACCCTCAGTGACACATGTGGCAAAAAAGAAAAGGGGCAAACTGTAGCACCCTAACCCGGATTTTACTTTTTAACTTATACTTAGTCAAATTTCGATCCGGATTTTTACTTAGCTTTTTTTGCATTAGGTTTGTTTAGACAGTTTTAGCCGTGCATAAGTAGATTAAAAACAGAATACTTGAATTAAATCGAGGTTCTCAGTACAATGATTGCTCGCATATAATCTATTACATCGACTAAGACCTTAACTACTCGATCCTACCATCCATTCCGTTCCAGCCATAGTCCGCGCGCTGATCAGACTTCTTTACCTGCATCCACAAATGAGGCATAAGCAAACAGAACTGCTTAGTGAGAGCGGTCATCCCGTCTCACCGAGCCAAAGTATAATCGCATCAAACAAAGATCGAGCCCAATGCTCATAAGAACAGAAAACTACCCGCGCATAACCATACACGCTTACCCGGCCGATCATCCAGCAACCAGACAAGCCTCGGCGAGCATCTTAGCCGAGAGCGCCTTGACTGATCCCTATCGCCGTTAAGGTGGATCGATCATCACGGCATAGCCAGCAGAAATATCATGACAAACACAGAATATACACGCAACCGACTAGAGTCTAAGCAAGAATACGACCAAACAAGGCTACGATCACGCACTCACCTTAGCTTTTATCGGCCAGATTCGGTAAAGACAGAACTCGCGGTCGATCAGATTCGTTCCCACGATCGCTCGGCAGAATCCGGATCACGCTCGGCAGGATCGCACTCACTCTCGTGTAGAATCCGGTATCGCTCGGCTAAACAGAGATTCTCTCGACTAACTTCTCTTAAAACTGTTTCTCTCAATCTTTCTGTGTTCTTTGGTCGCACGAAGAAGAGAAAATGATCGAGAGGCCTTTATTATATAGGCGCTCACACGATTTCTCGAAGAAAACCGCCCAGAAACCGTTCCTGCAACAATCCACACCCTCTCGGCTAAAAACCGCTCCCGCGCGTGATTCCGCACGACTGATAATCATATCTCGCGCTATCGCTTACTCGGCTAAAATCCATAACCGTTCCCGCGCTTATGCATTAGCGCGTTTTTACCCGATAACCGCTTCCGCGCGCAACCGTTCATGACAAAGGCTGTCTGTTCCGGACCAACCTTATCTGAATTCCGACCAAGTTCCAAAAAACTTGGCTTGTCGGAATTTCTCAGCTAAACTTTTCGAAAATCGCAGCCAACTGATTTTAGCTCGGCAAAACTCGATTTAACTCGGCAAAAAGCTGGACTTAGCTCGAAATCACCATACTGAACCCAGTTTCACCCGGCTAAACTCATTTTCCGACTTTCCTCAGTTAACCCCCTGGTTTTTCTCCATTTCTGCCTTACATTTTCCATAAATCCCTTAACCAAATTTTCCAACTTGGTAATTTTTTCCAAACACGGGTGTTACATAGACCCCCTCTCCGTAGAGCAAACATTAATAGCCCTAAAAAAAATAACATGAATGAGTTCCAGGAAAAGAAAAGTCTAGGATGTTCACAACTCACATGTAGCACGACAATCTTCATCTAGCCAAATCTCTGCAAATCGGTTAAAGCTACATCAGTCACAACCTTGAGGAGCCCTATTTCCGCTGCTCGATAAAAGAGAATCATCCCCACCTCGAATAAGGATGCTTCTACAAGTAGAATTCAACCAAGTGTCACAATCATTCCTGCTATCTCCAAAGGAAGACCGGATTTTTGGGACCCTCCAGCGCCGCTTCCTTAAAAGCGGTTAGCTGGAACTGTTGTGGTTTGGGGAATCCCACAACAGTCTAGAGTATTAGGGAGGTGCACAAATCAATCCTCCCTGACATCCTTTTTCTCATTGAAACAAAAAACTCTGATGACTTTTTGTTGAAAAATCTTGAATGGATGAACTTCTCTTCTCATTTTTTGGTCTCACCACACAGTCCAGGAGGTGTGTGCTTGCTTCGTACTGGAACCAAAATATTTTGTTGGAAATTCTTTCATCGTGCCATAACTATATTGACACATCTATCTCTTACAATCAACACAAGTTTTACACTACTTTCGTATATGGTGAGCCGGATCAGACTAAAAGAAAATCAGTTTGGAATCAACTAGAAAATATCTCGACTACTCGCGACGCTCCTAATGGGAGACTTTAATGAAATTATAGATAATACTGAGAAGAAAGGGGGACCTGAGAGAGATGAAGGGTCTTTCTGCGAATTCAGAGCACTGTTATCTCGCTGCGACCTGTTGAACTCAGACACTCAGGGAACACCTTTTCTTGGAGAGGAATAATGAATATTCATCTCGTCCACTGCCGCTTAGATCACTCCCTCTCTAATAGCTTTTAGGCTGAGAAGTTTCCATCAGGAAGATGCCACTACTACAGATTCGAGGGATCTGATCACCGACCGTTGGTTACATACTTTGAGCCCAACTCTGAAAAAAAACACGGCCTCTTCAGGTATGACGGTCGAATGGGAAAAAACGAAAAAATCACAAAGCTGGTCATTGAAGCCTGGTTCTCAGTGGCCTCTGCCAGTGGAAGACAGGATCAGCAAATATCACAAATCAATCTTAAAATGGAACAAGGAGAAGCTCGTTAACAGTTAAAGGGAAATAGAAAAAACTAAGATCCAACTAGACGAAGCTATGTCTAGTAGCCAAGCAGATGAAAGCCTAATACAACAATTAAACTCCACATTGAAACAAGCTTACCAAGAAGAATAATCTTACTAGAAAAAAAGGAGTATGCTCTTGTGACTCTCTTTGGGTGACCAAAAATTCGGTTTTTCTCACGCAACTACGAGGAACAGAAGAACAGTCAACAAATTCTCTGTGATAGAGAATGTTGAGGGAAAACCTGTGTTCGAAGAGGCTGAAATATCCAAGGTCATCTGCAACTACTTCCAGTCCCTCTTCATCTCCAATGCATCAAACTGCAAGGAAACAGTAGAAAAATCACTCAAACATTGCATCTCAGAGAGCACAAATAGGAGACTGATAGAAACTCCAACAGAAAGAATAATAAGAGTTGCTCTCTTCTCAATCCATCCGGACAAAGCACCAGGTCGAGAAGGTTTTTCTTCTGAATTCTTCCAAACCAATTGAAAAACAATCGGCCCCACCATTACCACTGAGATTCAAAACTACTTCATGTCAGGACATCTACCAGCTTCGCTCAATCACACATTTGTTAGATTGATCCCAAAGGGCAGTGCTCCCTAATCGGTTGTAGATTATAGACCAATTGCTCTCTGCAATGTGATCTATAAAATTTTCTCCAAGATCCTTACGAGGCGTCTTCAACCGGTTCTACATTCTGTCATTTCTGAGTCCCAATCCGCCTTTGTGCCGGGAAGAGCAATTTCTGACAACGTGATGATAACTCACGAAAATATGTACTTCCTCAAAAGATCTGGAGCAAAAAAACACTGTGCCATGGCGGTTAAAACCGACATGAGCAAATCGTATGACCGACTTGAGTGGAGCTTCATCAAATCAGTCCTTACAAAGCTCGGTTTCCACTACCTTTGGATCCAATGGATTATGCAATGTATCACCTCAGTCTCCTACTCCTACCTTATAAACGGATCTGCAAAAGGATATGTACAACCTCATCATGGAATTCGTCAAGACAACCCATTTTCACCGTACATATTCATTCTATGTGGGGAAGTACTCGCGGGACTCTGTAAAAATACTCAAATCAGTGGTCGCTTATCAAGAGTCAGAGTAGCAAAGAGAAGCCCTATAGTTAATCACTTACTCTTTGCGGATGACACAATTGTTTTTCGCAAAACATCTCTCGTGCGTGTGAAACTCTGAAGCAAATCTTGCAAAAGTATGAAGATGCATCTGGTCAGATGATCAACGTGCAAAAATATTATATAACTTTCTATGGGAAGACACCACCTGAAATAAAGGACTGAGTTAAGTTATGCTGTGGGAATAGAGAAAAAGGGAGGTCAGGAAAAATATCTGGGCTTGCCTGAGCATTTTTGGGAGGAGGAAGAAAGATCTCTTCACGGCAATTGTGGACAGAATCCAGCAAAAAGCTATTGGTTGGTCAACTAAGTTCCTGTCTAGCACCAGGAAAATCATCATGCTCAAGTATGTGTTATCCACATTCCCTCTTACAATATGTCCTGTTTTAAGCTGCCCTTGAGCCTCTGCAAAAGGATCCAATCTGCCTTGACCCGCTTCTGGTGGGACTCAAAACCAGAAAAGAAAAAGTTGTGATGGATTGCTTGGACAAAGCTCATAAGACCAAAACACTTAGGCAGTCTCGGCTTCAGGGACATTGAAGCTTTCAATGATGCACTCCTCGCCAAAATGTATTGGAGACTGCTAAACAATCCACATTGTCTTCTGGCATGTGTGCTTCTGGAAAATACTGTGTCAACTCTGATATGCTCAATGCTACAACTCCAGCTATTGCCTCACATAGATGGAGAGTATCCTAATAGGTAGAGACCTACTAGCTCCACACATCGGTAAAGCTATTGGAAATGAAAACTACCAAAGTCTGGTTGGATCCTTGGCTCAGTCTCTCTAATCAACTCCGACCAATGGGGCCAGCACCAAGAAACTCTAGTAACATGGTTGTGTCGGAACTGATGCACGACAATTCTACTTCGTGAAGTGAGGAGAAAATTCTCGAGATTCTGCCAGCTATGAAACTAGATATCATAAGCATCAAGCCCAGTACAATAGGAGCAGAGGACTCCTTCATCTGGATCCCTAACAAGACAGGAGTGTACACCACCAAATCAGGCTACAATGTTGCTATTAACGATAAAAGAAAAACGAATAACCAAACACTTTTGACCTGCACTCAGACATATGGAATGGGACTTTTTCTCCAAAAATAATTTTTTTTTTATATGGAAGGTGGTACAAGGAGCTCTCCCTGTGGGAGAAAGCTTACAATCTCGAGGCTTATCGATAGGAGCTACTTGTGTTCACTGTGGAGATTTGGAAATGATAGATCACCTCTTTCTCCACTGCAATTTCGCCAAAGAAGTTTGGAAATTAGCACCATACAAGTTCACCATTGAAAGCATCAAAACGGTGGATTGGTTTACCAGCAACGGAAGTGGGAAATGGCTCTTTGTTCACTTGGATCTACTGGTCTATTTGGTTTTCACGCAATAAATTGATCTTTGAAAACAGGAATATAACCTCAGCGGATACAGCAACGAAAGCAACAAAAGAAGCAAGAGAATGGCAATCGGCACAGGTTATTGAGAAACCCAAACAGCATCTCACGGAAACCCCCCATCAGCAATCAGAAGACCTAGAGGAGATCACCTGCTTTACAGATGCAGCGTGGCTGGAAGCTCCAAAAGTAGCGGGCCTAGGATGGATTTTCTTCGACCAGTCGGAAGTGAAAATCTCGAGGAGTCATAAATCGGAGTCCTTCAAACTTCTCCTTTGGTTGCAGAAGCAATTGCTGTCAGAACAGCCTTTAGCCAAGCTTTAGAAAAAGGATTCTCCAAGCTCCCACTGGCCACTGAGATCAGATTCACAGATCCTAATCAGCTCCATCAATCGAAAGGAACCAAACAAGGAAATTCTGAAATTAGTTTTCGACATACGATCTCTATTAAAAAGAGGAATGCTCATTAAATTCGCAATAGACAACCTATATATCTGGTCTAAACCGTAACTTACATAGGGAATTTTTAACCATTAAACACAATAAATTGAATATTCATCTTTAATTTTAATTATTAATCTACATATTTAACTTATATTTTAGTGTAATTAAAGGATAAAATTTCCAGATGCTCGTTTTGCCTCTGATACTCTCTCTATTATATATTAAGTTAAAATTATATGTCATGAGGAATAAAATTGACTTTTTGAAGGTTAGATTTTATAATTTTGGATTTTATGCTTTCAGGATTTAAGGATTTAAAGTTTAGAGTACTTCTATTTTATGGTCTACATTTAGACTATATAGTGAAAAAAAAATAATACTTTTGTGTTTATAATACTTTAAAGTTTATAATACTTCTATGTTTGTGAAAAAAATATATAGAGCATTTCCTTTCTTTTATATACATTATTTTCATAATTATTCAACTTCATATATTTTTTGTTCTGTATATCTTATTTTGAAGCAATTCTTATTTAATTGTAAATTTATTTTATGTCAAATAAATAGTGAAGATTTGAATACTAAAAACTGATGACGTTACATTGCATATAGACTTTTTTTCGATAAAGGCTTGCAAGAAAAAAATCAGAAAAAAGCTAGTGGCTTTCCTTTTTCTCTAACCTATATGACGTTTGGCTTATAATCCTTTAAAGATATATCGTACAACACTACAACATCAGGCTAGAACGTAACACAAGATGTCGACAACAATAGGAAGAAGTTTGAAAAAATACCAATTCTCAGATAATGCCGAGAAAAAACAAAAAAGCGGACAAGAATATAATATTAATTTCTTGGTGGACAAGTATGTTTGACTATTGACATTTTCTTGTGTTCCAAACATTTTTGGTGTGCTCTTCAAAGATAAGCCCCTCTATATATATCCACAAATTGATAATTTTACAATTCATCAAGTCTAAAATCAAAATAAGGAAAAATGAAGAGGGAAGGTCGTAAACACGGTTTCATTAGGACTGGGATGATTCATCCGTCGGGGTTTAATCCACAAACCAGAAACAAATTCGTGAACCAGCTTGATTCACCACCCGCTTTTGGAGTATTTACTAACGTGCCATCAAAACCTACCAACCATTCAAAATCCACCAAGAAATGTGAGCGGTCCAAATACAGTAATCATCATGTGTCGCCGGCTATAAAGTCTGTGGACAAATCTAAAGGCTGCCGCAAGGTACAATCGACGGAATGGTGGGCTGAGGATAAGCTAAACCGGCTCATCGGGTCGGACTCATCCTCTGCTAGAGATATTTTGGATACCTTATGTGATGAAGATTATGATGGTCATGTTTCAGCTCATGATGATGATTGTTAATCATACAAAATACACACACTCATCTTTCCTATTTCACCATGTTTGTTTTAACACAAACCCCAAAATATGTATTTCGTGTCTTGCTATCACTTTGAAAAGTGTGGCTTTTGTATGATTTTTTATATTAAAATTTTCTCTCTTTAAATTTAAAAGTAAATGTATCAGATATACCTGTTACTATTTCTAATTTGCGAATATAAAAAAAACGCTATTCGGGAACTGTACACAATTTTTAATATCACTAGGATAAGACCCGCGTGTACACGCGGGTTTGTGTAATAGAGATAACATTCTTTTGATTTTTACACAAAGCTCTAATATTACATCATTTATACATTGTCTTTTGGCTTGATCTACCTAAACCACGGGCAGCGACATTAGTACACAACAAGACACCAGTTTCAGCCTTTATGAACTGGAAAAATGTTGAAGTCCTTTTGCTCTGATCTATCCCTCTTCGAATTTCAAGGCAATCTATTTTGATGTATCGAAAGAGTTCGGCGTGAAACTTGCTGGATTTGCACGTCGAGAAAAACACCATGATTTTCTTTTTCCCGTGAAATTCTCTTCAAGAAGGTGAGTAAGAAAATTAAACGCTTCGCACTTGGCACAACGAAATAACTTTGCTCCAAGTCTTCATTTCTAACCTACAGTTTCCAATTTCCACAAACATGAAAAAGACCTGTCTAGAGGAATGAAGTAAAATGTAAGTAGAGAATTGTGATAATCGCTACCTCTTTTCGTCCTTTATCGACAACAATATAAACAGGTGACGAAAGTGACACCCGAGCAAGATCCTCAACCTGTTGGTTTCACCAATCCTAATTAAGCGATACTATACTCAAGAAAAAAGTGTGGGAGCTATACTGATTGCGAAACAAACCTTGGAAGTCTGTGTGGCGGTAAACAACAACGTCTGCCTTGTCTGCAGGAAAAAAAAATGACGATTTATCATTATCAACAACACGGGGACATGAAAAGAATACTTCTCTATGATTCAAGTTAAAGACTTAAGACAACTATTGGTAAATCCCCAGTGCAAGCAGCGAGAATACCTTTGGTAGCAGCTTAATGATCATCTTCATGTCTTCTTCGAAGTTCTGTTCCAGTATCCTATCAGCCTCATCCATCACAAGAAACTGCAATTTTTTTATCAGAATAAGATGTGCATTAACTCAAAACCATGACAATAAGAATAGTACCCCAAAAATTGAAATCAGACTTCTGAGTTGTACCTTCAAGTTCTTGAACACAAATCCATTTGTATTTTCAAGGTGGTCGAGAAGTCTTCCAGGGGTTGCTACTAACAAATTAACACCTTTCACAAGAATTTCAGCTTCTTTCTTTCTGTTCTCGCCGCCAATAACCTTTCCCACAGTCTGCGAATGATACTTTAGAAGTTCTTTCGCCACTCCATATGACTGAAATATCAAAGACGTACTTGATAAGAAAGCACAAAGCATGATGTAATGCTAGATCGATAAAAATCCGAGGAAAAGTTACAGACCTGAATGGCTAGCTCTCTTGTTGGGCTAATAACGATAACACCGGTTCCGTTGCGAGGAGTAAACCGGACATGGTAGAGAAGCTCTGCAGCCGATATTAGAAAAGCTAAGGTTTTTCCAGAACAGGTCTTGGCTGCTCCAAGTACATCTTTTCCCATCATCAATGGGGGAATTGCTTTAGCTTGTATCTGCCAAAATGATAAAGAATTTACAAGTGGGCACAATAAGAGGTTGAATGTCTTTGCTCTAGAAAAGACATTTATATTCAATTACCTGAGTCAATTACGCCGCTCGGGTTTGGGGTTAGGGTTTTCATCCGCCATTGAAGTAGAAGGTGGAGGAGGAGAATCGATCGATGGGTTTGTTGTTCTGATGTTTATCGAGGATGGAGGAAGCTGATCTTCTCAACATTTTGTGTGAAATCTTCGAAATTTCAAAGCCTCAAAATTAGATTAGAGATTTTGGGGTTTATGGTTTGTTTTTGTGAAGAAAGAGAGAGATAGAAGAAAAGTTTTACGGAGTGAAATAATTATTGTCTGTGTATTTTATAAAAGTTTTAATGAGATGATGTGTCAAATGATGTGTCAAAAAATTAGGTGCTTAGGTGTCAAGCTGGTGAGACTTAACCCAGTCTTTATATAATAGATTTTACTCTTACTCATGCTTTCCGGGCAGGTGAAAAATTATATGCCTTTATATTGAAAGTCGTGTATCAAATTACATAAATTTAAACATATCTAAGAAATTCAGAAATTATTAAATTCAAGAACTGTTCCTGATATAAGATCGGGTGTAGTATGAGTTGGATCCTTGTAGCTGGCCTCAAGGCTCCCTCTACTCGAACAAGAGATGAATGAAGTGAGGGAAAGATGGCGACTTAAACAATTGGCCTCAAGGCTCTCTTTGTTTAAATCCGATGAACGAACTCGAGACTATAGTAACCGGTGGATCGAAGGACACCACAAAGCTTATGATCTAGCTTTGATAAGTCGGAAGAACACAAAGGACAAGGGGCAGCCGCATGAGTCTTTGTAGCTCTAGGGTTTTGCTAAAGAAGAAAATACTCTCTTTATTGATAATAGGTAAAAACGTGAGACTACAAAGCTGCATATGGGACTTTATAAATAGTCCGTCAGCTGTGACCTTCTAGGGTCGACAAATCAAAAAAAGGAAAGCTCAAAACGCAACAGACTCTGTGAAAAGTAAAGAGAACAATTCGATAACCCTAAGAACAATCTAAAAAGGAAAAATAACTAAAAGGACCTAACGATAAAACCTGCAAAACAAGAAAAGGAAACTTTGTTAATGAATTCAAATTTAAAGACTCACATTGCTTTAGAGGTGGTTCGAAGACGGGTTGTCTTTGTCTTGAACTTGAGAAATGACGAGCAATGTTGGGCCAAGGTGGGTCTTTATCAGCGGCCACGTTTCCTCGTCTAGACTTGGGCTTGGTGCCTTCACGTCCACGGCATATTCTTCTTGGCTTGTAATCTTGAGTTGCTCCATCGTCTTGGTGAGTTCTTTATGTCCTTCTTGCATCATTAGAGCCTCCACAGCTACATTGAACCCTTCCCTCATGTTTCTCGTGCCTGATCTAGTCCTTGGTGGCTCATACATGGTAGGAATCTTCAAGTCTTGGGGTTGCTCCGAGCTAGTGTCCTCATCATTCCCTCCCGCTTGAGAAGGTTCTGACCTCAGAACTTGTTCATCTGCGTGGAAAGGAGCTAAGTCAGATATGTTGAAACTAGAAGAGATATTAAACTCACCTGGTAACTCTAGTCGGTAAGCATTGTTGTTGATACGCTCAAGGACTTTGAATGGTCCATCTCCTCGCGGTGAAAGCTTGGATTTGCGTTGGTTAGGGAACCTCTCCGGCCGCATGTGAAGCCAAACCCAATCTCCCGGCTTGAAGGTGAGTTCTTTGCGTCCCTTATCTGCTTGTTTCTTGTATTGTTCAGTCTTCTTCTCAATGTTTTCTTTGACCTTTTGATGCAGCTTCCGAACTGTCTCGGCTTTGCTTTCTCCATCTTGATTAGCATACTCTAGTGGTGGTAGTGGTGAAAGATCTAGGGGAGTGAGTGGCTTAAAGCCATATGCAACTTCAAATGGACAAAACTTGGTAGCAGAGTGAGTAGCACGGTTATAAGAGAACTCAATAAAGGGAAGACACTCTAACCAGTTCTTTAAGTTTTTACCAACCGTGGCCCTTAAGAGGGTGGAGAGAGTTCGATTGACGACCTCAGTTTGCCCATCCGTCTGAGGGTGGCAAGTCGTTGAGAAGAGTAGCTTGGTCCCGAGCTTTCTCCACAATGTCCTCCAAAAGTGGCTTATTAACTTGGTATCACAATCAGATACTATAGACCTTGGTAACCCATGTAAGCGTACCACCTCCTTGAAGAACAAGTCAACGGTTTGGGAAGCATCATTTGTCTTTGAACATGGAATGAAATGCGCCATTTTTGAGAACCGGTCCACCACTACAAATATGGAGTCCTTGTTTCGGATCTTCGGAAGACCTAAAACAAAATCCATAGAAAGATCTACCCAAGGTAGGTTAGGAATAGGTAAGGGTGTGTAAAGGCCGTAAGGATGTGACCTGGATTTGGATTTGAGGCAAGTGACGCATTTGGAGCAGAATCTCTCGACGTCCCTCTTGAGGTGGGGCCAAAAGAAATGCTCCACAAGTATGCTCAGTGTCTTGTCTACCCCAAAGTGGCCCATGAGACCCCCTCCATGTGATTCTCGGATCAGCAGCTCCCTCATTGATCCTTGGGGTATGCACAAGCACTTATCTCTGAACAAGAATCCTTCGTGCTGATGAAAAGATCCCACTACGGCCTCGGCACTGGCTTGGTAAACCTCTCCAAAGTCGGGATCTCCTTCATATTGTTCCTTGATATGCTCAAACCCCATCACCTTGGCCTCCATTGTGGTGATAAGCGCATATCGCCTTGAGAGTGCATCGGCTACTATATTCTCTTTCCCCTTTTTGTACTTGATTATGTAGGGAAAAGTCTCAATGTACTCTAGCCATCTCGCGTGCCTCCTCTTGAGTGATGTTTGCCCCCTTAGATGCTTAAGTGTCTCATGATCGGTGTGAATGACAAATTCCTTGGCTAACAAGTAGTGTTGCCAAGTTTCCATGGATCTCACAAGGGCATACAATTCTTTGTCATAGGTAGGGTAGTTTAGTGTAGCTCCGTGTAGCTCCGTGTAGCTTCTCACTGAAATAAGCCACGGGTCGCCCACCTTGAGTCAGCACCGCACCAATACCTAATCCTGGAGCATCACATTTGATTTCAAAAGTCTTGTTAAAATCAGGCAAAACTAGAACAGGTGCATTAGTTAAATGAACTTTAAGAGTTTGGAAAGCTTTATCCTGTGCTGGCCCCCAAGAAAAGGCCACATCTTTCTTGATCACAGCAGTGAGAGGGGCGGCTATGGTGCTAAAGTCTTTAACAAACCGCCTATAGAAGCTTGCTAGCCCATGGAAGCTTCGAACATGTCCTATGGTGGTGGGTGTGGGCCATTCTTGAATCGCCTTTATCTTCTCTTGATCAACTCGTAATCCCTGAGAGCTTACCACAAAGCCTAAAAACACAAGCTCATCAGTGCAAAAGGTGCACTTCTTGAGGTTCGCATAAAGACCTTCTTGACGAAG